CATTTCTTCTGGCATCCGACTTCGGTGGTACTTGGCAAGGACGTTCTCGAATTTCCCACTATTTCCTGCGTAAGTACGGAAACATGGACCACGTGTCCACTCTATACCCAGGTCGTTCACCAGTGGTACGCCCGGGATATAGAGGACTATGTTCCCACGTTTCGGCCTGCCGGCTGAACCCACGCGACATTCGTGAGAAGATCTTAAGCCTCCCCATTCTAGCAGCAGTGGTGGTTGTCGAACGAGATCGCCAGAAAGCTGATGCCACCCGCACACACGGTGTGTACAGCAAGGCGATTGATAATCGAACCGTCACTTGAGTCCTCGCAGATACTATGGTCGGCGCCCACCCCACGGGGGTACGGAGGCAATTGTAGCGGTTGTTGGCACTGTCTGTGCCATCTGCGGGTAGGATCGGCAGCTGTCGGACTAAATGAATAGACCGTTTGTGCTCTAGTGTTAGGACACGTTTGCGCGCCAGTGGAGAGCAGTGGGACGGTGGGTGCTCCTGACTGTCAGATAGGGTCCGACAGCACCACGTCCCAGCGCATCACTCCAGTTAACCACTGCTACTCGATTCTCCTTCCCCTTGCTGTAAATAATCTGTAAATCAAATTCATCTAATGAGGAGTTCCAGCGTGCTATACGGCCCTTGTCACAATTTCGCATCCAACGGAGGGATTCATGATCCGTTCGAATCGTAATGTTGCAGCCTAGGAGAAGTTGTCGGAAATGTCGAAGGGCCCAGACTATTGCAAAGGCTTCGAGTTCCCGTATTGGCCGCTTGGCTTCATGTTTAGTGAATGCGTGGGAGGCGTACGCCACAGGAAAGAGGTCGTCGTCCTTTTGGAGATATAGACAGGCTCCGATACCTCGCTGCGATGCGTCGGTATCTAGAGCAATCGGACTGTTGCTGTCAATCGGGTGTAAATTCGGAACTTGTGTCAGCACTTCCTTCAAGTGACTCCATGCCTTCAGTTCTTTTTCTCCGAAACCCCACCTGGTTGATGTAGTGTTGTGTACAGTGGTTGTGCAATTTCGGCGTATCGCGGAATAAACCTCCTAAAACAATTAGCCAAACCAAGGAAGCCGTGAATAGCGGAGGTCGTTGAGCTTGCATAGCTTCGACATGTCGTGGGTATAGCACTATCGATTTATACGCGATCTTGTGTCCGAGGAAATCAAGCTCTTTTTGTGGTTCTAATACTGACTTATCGTAATTGACAGCGAACCTTTTTTGGGTTAGGGTTTCTACAATGGCTCTCATCCGATCAGCGCACTCCTCTTTGGTGGCACCGATAGTCGCGATGTCGTCGACATATGGGAAAGCCCATGGGAGATCCTTGAGCACTTGATCCGTGGTCTGTTGGAAAAGTGCCGGAGCTACTTTTAGACCGAAAGGTAGCCGTGTGTACTCATAAAGACCCCTCACTCCATAGAAGGCAGTCAGTGGCCTGCTTTGTGGTGTCAGTGGAAGCTGCCAAAAAGATTTGGTCAAGTCCACTTTAGCAAAATACTTGCCTTATGCGAGTAATTGCCGCATTTCCTCCATAATCGGTAAGGGGTATCTGTTTCCTTTTAGTAGAGTGTTCGGCGGGATATAGTTACCGCAGATTCTGACTGGTTTGTCCGGATGGAATACTAACCGAGGTCGGAAAGCCCACGGTGAACTAGACTGATAGGTCCTACGTCCCGTTTACGGCACCTGTTGTGCGGCTGCTGGCCACCCATGAGGTGATATCGTTTGTGCTGGTTGGTGCGATCCGGAGCAAAGGCAGGAGTAGGATCCGACCTATGACGCAAAGCCGTCGCAGATATGCGAGCCCGATGCCCTGACAAGCGGCAGAAGAGATGACGCCACCAACAGATCAGAATGCCTCCGTAAACCACTGAGACAGGCCTCCGGAGGCAATCGCCTGGAGTGAACGCTGACGGCAATACC